AGGCTTAGGCCGTGAAACGGCTCGTGAATTTCACGTTCTCCCCGCCCTACAGTGAAGGCGACTATTCGGATATCGGGCCGGAGTTCGGGACCTAATTCATGTCCCAGCACCAGCCCCGGGACTGAAATAACATTATCTCCCGTGGGCAGAACCCGCATCAAATTGGGAGCCGTATCAGATTGAGAACCAAATCATGTAGAACATAGAGCAGAGTAGCGGCATATTTAGGTAGTTCAGGCGTCGGCAGACGTATAGTCTAGTAAAGATCGGGTTATCCTGTCTACCCACTAATACTGGTACGTGTTAGATACTCTATCACCGTTACCCCTCTCGTGCCCAAGCCCCTCGCACAGGACAGCCCATCATGTCCTCAGCCAACTTCATCACCTCGGCGTGGCCCGCTGTATGAAGAATATGTAAGTGTTCACGAATGATTCGCATAGAAGCAGTTTGTGTACCATCTTTCCACCGCAAGGGACCCTGGAGATACTGTCAGGCGTAGTCTGTACATGTATGAGACAGATGAATACCCACCAGCTCTTCAAGTCTGTACCCTTCGCTTCTGTACTTGGGCCCTGGCAGGTCCTCCTCACTCTTCAGACCGAACACTATCATTACGCGCTCGAGCACTCGTTGCAACCCAGTTGGCCTGGGAAGATACCACGGCTTCGTGACCGGCCACGCAGGATGCATACGTGCGAGACTACCATCTGTAGGCATACGTGGTGCTTTCATAGGGACAAGGGGGACTTGAGAGAAGCGTGGGAGAAGAAGATGACCCTGTGTGAACTTGAAGAGCCAAGCCGCGGTCCCGACGAGCGAGTGCATCCACGCCGGTTGCTCTGGTAAGCTTTACATACTCGTCAGCGGGGCACACTACATAGATGAGGTATAGACGCACCCCATTGCTACGCGCGTGCGCTCATCAAAGAGGCAAATGATGATCCTTTGGAATATGCCGCGCGCAAAGGCCGGAACTACACTCGAGAGCTCGGTCATCATGCCCGATACTACCTCCTTGTTCGTATCGGCAGGTACCATATGCTGCTCCTCGTACTCCTGTACACATCCGCGGGTGAGTATAAGCACAGCCCGAGCCGAATGGAGTAGAGTGGGGAACCCTCGTACCTCTGACCAGGCTATCAAACCCTCAACCGTGTCGGGTATGTCGCGGATACCCATGAGTTCGCCAACGCGAGTGTAGAACACGTGCCGAGCTTGCACCTCCAACGGTGACAGTGAGCGCCACCCATACTTCTGCGCCCAGCGCTGTACAAGAAAGGCCATCAGCTTCTGGAGGAGGGCATCCTTGAAAGCACGTACGACCGGTTCGAGGATGAATAGCGAGAGCGTGTACAGGTAGTCGTCGTTAGACTAGGCACAGCCCGAGCGTTAGCTTTGTGACTTCGGATGCAGCTGAATGGGTCCTCACAATCGGATAATGTGCGTGCAACCAGTTCATACGCGCAATGCCAATGAAAGTGCGCGGGTCTGGATCAGCCTTCGGTTCGCCCTTGGTCTCAGACGCGTACAGTTCAGTCGGGGGATCCGTAGCACTGATCGGACAGAAACTCCAAGTCCCTGGGGTGTGTACATCAATGAGTGACAGGTCACACAACGGGAAATGTGGATGTTACCTGCGATGATTGCCGTCTGTCGTTGCGCAGTCAATCCTTGTGCGAAGCTGAGGGAGTAGTATATACTCACGTCTAAATACCGCTTCGACACGGATGGCCCTGCTTTTAGCTCTTTACTGGAGCACAGTATCTTTGAGATAGATGGCTAGACCGTGCAAACACTAATCAGCGACAAGGCTCGACATGACGCGAACAGGCAGACCCACGATAGCGTACGTCCGCACGATGGCGAACGACAACGCGTTGGCAAGCAGGGCGCCCATGTCCCACACGACACTGGCATGAGTTATGTCCTGCGCCTCCGTCGCCGTCATGCGCGCTTTCGGGTTGCGCACGGGGTCCAGATGGGCATATTTGCGATGTAGACGGTTGTAGACTCGCCAGCGCGTGAGGCGGACCAGGAGTAGGTAAACCGCGCACGCGATAGAGGCAGAGACAGGTAGCAATGGCATACGAAGTAGCGCGAGCATGAACGTTCTTGTTAAAGATACCGTGCTGGCGTGCGTGGAAGGTCTATCAGCTAAGAGCCTAAGAGCACAGCTGACCGTGACGCCCGGCTTCAGGCTTGTGCTTTTAAGGTGGACGGCGGCACTGCCGACCGTGTGCGCCATTGGACTCAAGTTGTAGGGATTCGGGCAGCCAAGACCATAACAAGCCAGTATGACCCTCTGGTTCCCATGTCATAGCGAATAGATAGACCCTGTTTGAATGGGGGACCACGTCTAGAGAATATCGGTGGGAAGCTCATACCGAGGTCGAAGCCGGACATGAGTGCCTCAAAGCCCGGTGTTCCATCCGTGCAGTGCTTCATGTTCTGATACGGTGACATCTCCTTTTGTCTGCGGGCCGTAGGACTAATGAAGGTGACGGAGGGAGGAGAAGAGCTGCTGGCGAAGTTGGACATGACCGCAACTGATCCGGGGATGTACTTGTATGGGCGCCTGATGATCATGGATGACTCTTCCACTGGCGCGCTCCCGGCAACGGCTGCACTCAAAGGCCGTTGAGACCAACCAAGAGTATAGTGGTCTCAAGACGGCCTACGCACCAATGTGTGGCGACGCTCAATGTACGACGTGACCCCGGACCCAACCACAAACTTCATGCCATCCTGAACCGCGGAGCCAAAGACGCCGACTACTTCACCTACGTACCAAGACCAGCTATCGTTTGTCGTAGTTACACTTCAAAGGGGACTTAGATTGATGTGATGAAAGCATGTATACGAATGGTAAACACGCGATAGCAATACAAACAATGTAATAGTAGAAAAACCCCAGACTAGATCAACCATTACTGAAAGACGTGAAGACCAAGGATCCCAGAAAGATAAACTCAGGAGCTAACGAGCATCTATCGACTCGTAGCGGACCAGCAATGCATTCTGACCTTACGAAGGAGGGCTATGATGTGAAGTAAGCGTTTGCCGAGCCATCGGATACTGTAAGTAGACAACTTACACAGGGGCAACAGAGGTGGCCGGGCCGGGGTCGGTCTTGAGGGTGGGGAAAGCAGAGGTAGCACACGCCTGCTCGACATCGGCATTGGAGAGACCGGCGGGGAAGGTCGCGGCAGCAGTGAATGGCTTGACGCGGGGGAGGACGTCGGAGCAGTCCACCATCTTGCTCGTGTCCTGCCCGAGAACGGCGAGCTTGGCCATAGCCGCGGCGAAGGTGCTCATCATGTGCGCCTGGCTGTTGACGTTCGCCTGCCAGAGGCATGCAGTGCGAGAGTCGCGCGCCAGCTCAGAGTCGGACTGCAGACGCATCTCGCCCTTGAGGGGAGACTCAACCTCGCCTTGGTTGCCAGCAGTACCGGGGAAGAGCGTGCCGCGCAGTTGCGTCTCGACGAAGAACTGGGTGTCGAAGGTAGAGGGCGTGCTGTCGAAGGGTGTGCCAGGGATGGTTGGGTCGACTGGGGACTTGGTCAGTCCGCTGCTGACAGGAGGAAACGATGATACTAACCCTCATCAGCGGCAGCAACAGTGTGCGAAGCTAGAAGAGCAACGACCTCGGCCGGAGTGAAGCCGGCGTCAGCGAAACGATCCAGGATCGTGTCGACCGTGTCGAAGGGCTCCGGGATGGTCTTGTCAACGGCGGGGGCCGTCGCATCCACGCGGCCGAGCAAGAACTGCAGCTGCGGAGCACCGGGGCAGTTGGATACACCCGCTGCACCTGCAAACTGGATGAAGTCTGCGGTGTTGATCTCGGGGTGGCGGGCGAGGAACGGCTTCTGCTCGTTGATGATCTCGTCAACACCGATGCTAGACGCGATGAAATATGAGTACACAGTCGAGTAAATGGAGACCCGTACTCGCCTGGCATGGAAGTTAGCCTCGATGTTCTCGAAGATGGCAATGGATCCGTCGGCGCCGGTACTGTAAGAGTGATTAGAAAGGAAAATGAGCATGATAGATTAGAGGAAGTTACCCGACGGAAGAGTTGTGCAGCGAGAACCCGATGGCGTCGTGGAACGTCAGACGGAGAGACTCGTGCACATCCTCACCGCAACCGCCATTGTCGAACAGGTTCGCCTGAAGGTCGTCGAGGATGGGGAAGAGGATGCAGCACGCCTCGTTGGCCGTGACGTTACCGTCGGCGCAGGTAACGCGCTTAGTGACGGCGGCTGAATGAAGAGCGTCAATGATGGTTATAAGAGTACGGGAGTTGATACGTACCGCTAGCGGCAGTGGCGAGAGCGACGAAAGTGAGGAGAGCGGCGAATGCCATTGCGAGTGGAGGAGGATGACCGGGTGGACTGGAGACCGAGGAGCCTGGCTGATTCGGCCTCCCCCAGAGTAGCTTTTATACGGAGCATCCCTGGCTCTAAGCCAGACAGATACGGTGCTGAGATACGTTCGTAGAGCATGTACGCCTATCGAGATGTATTCACAGCCCGTCCTCGCTTAGCCAGACCAATGAGCACGTCCTCATTCGGGCCCAGGGTGGTTTGAGCCCCTGCGAGTGTGTATTTGACATCCGAGTCGTCCCAGACAGATCCGCTTCGATCTGTATGATGTCAATGTATCACAGCGTACAGGATTCAGTAATGTGCGTTGCAAAACACTCCATTGGTCGCAGACGACAGAGTACTCACGATATACCACGAAAGAGGTTAATAATACGATGGTCCGATGCGAATTGACCCAGAGGTTGAACGTCTACCACACCTCTGTCACCTTATGTACCCGTACCAGCACATCGGTTTGGGGTGCGTTGATCGAGGGAGTCTGCTTTCGAGGGTCAGAGTCTGATTGCTTACGCAGATATACAACGACTCCATACCTCAGTGTACCCCTTGACGGCCTACTGCAATAGAAGATAAGTAAGAGAAGACTCTTAGTGTACCGCTCCAACAGCGAACAGGTACTAACCTCGCAAAGAACATAGAAACGGCGATATCTCGAGTAGACGCTCGCGCGTGAAGGCGATGACATCGCTGAGATAGTGCTATTTTGGGCAGTCCCGAAGCAGGTGCATGCACAACAAACCTTCCCACATCACATCCGAGAAGCAGGAGCTCGCGCTGGTCTGTTACATGCTTCAGCGCTTGCGCTCATCACAGGCGAAACAAGCGACTATAGCCCGCCTTGCATATTTGAGACCTGGGCCGAACTGTGCGCGTCCCACGGAACTGTGGCTCGTCGCAGCGCTATCGGTGCCTACAGTTCGCAAGGAATCATCCTGCAGTGGGTCATGCAGCTATGCGGCGCGTCAACCGTACGACTTGCAAGCCCGGAGCTACGGATGCCTCGTGCAGCCTGGGTTTTGCGCCCACGGTTCATATGCCTCCCCAACGACAGGAAAGATGACATATCAAACTGTTCCGCAGGACTATGCGCCGTCAAGGATGATGATATACACTTTGCGATGCCTTGTCGAAGTTGAGGACGTTGAGCACAGGAACTCCAACACCGTGGCGAAAGCCTTCGGTCGAGGTATGCTTGACGTATACCGAAGATGATATTGCGAAGAAAAGAAGATGAGCTCCGGCATTTAGAAGCAATGGGACGTGGTCGGAACGTATTCTTGGCCGAGGATCGCGAGAGGCATGATGGAGGTAGAAGCCAGCCGTGGGCAACGCACGCACGCGCGATGAACTCCCATCGGCAGATCCCGAACACCCATACGAATACTTTACGCCCAGCACTGCCATAGACTTTGCCTTGAACATCATACAGTTTGCCATAACGCTTGTGAGCCTTGCGGAATGGACGTATACTCGCAAAATGAAACGACGCCTTGGCTGGCGGCCCACTGAGAGAGATGGAAGAAGTCCATTTTCCTGATTCATTAGCTACGCTACTACAAAGCTTCGCGCGCACGTAAGTATTCGTTTCATATCCTCAAACCGCAACCGTAAGTACTACCGTATCTGTCGAAACCGAAAAAAGGGGGTCCGAAACGCGCAAATATGTAAGACCTAGAAACCGAGAAAAAGATGGCCAGCCAAGGCGCGAATCCGGTCGGGCCATGAACTCGAGCAGGAGTGGAGGAACGAGAAGAGGTGGGGACTACTGCATGAAGAGGAGAAGGAAAAGGAGACGTCGACGCGGAGCTAGGGGAATTGGTTGTAAAGTAACGTTCGTGTGTGAGATGCGATATTGTTGACGGGGGTGGTAATACATGAGATTTGGGTGACAGTCCGAGCTCTATCCGCGTCGACGAACGCGACTACTAAAGGGGCTTTGCAAGTGAGCAAGAGAAGTATCCGTATGAGCAAGACGAAGCAAAGGCAAGGCAAAGCGGGGAGGGGGACGGCGGGCATAATATACTACATATACAGCGGCTAATGTTACAGAGCGCGCCGTCGTCTCCTCGTCTGCGAGTGTGAAGGCATCACGCCGCCGCCGCGTTGACAGGAGCGCTCATGCGCCGCGCACGCTCGGCCATATTGGCGCTTTCTGCGAGATATGCCGCCTCGTCGTCTTCGTCGTCGGCATATGCGCTCTCGTTATGCGTGCTATACGCTGGGGGCGCAGCTACGGCCGTCCGCTTCGCGTACTCAGGCGCGAGCGTCTGACTGGCGAGACGCTTGAAGCCAGGGCGCGCATCCGTAGAAGCTACAGCAGTCGGTGCGAAGTTCGTGACGGGGTGAAGCAGCGGTAGCGGGCTAGGGCTGTTCTCGTCGCGCGTCTCGTACGAACCACGGCTATCCGGCCGGTTGTTCTCGTTGCCAGCCGGAGCGCTCTGCTGCGAGAGGCTGCCCATACGCCCCTTCTTCGGGACGAGGTTGAGCGAGATGGGCGCACGGCGAGCGAGAACGGCCTGCTCGTAGCTCCGCAAATCGTCGGGATTATTGTTACTACCGCGCCCAGGCGGTGGCATGCCGCGCGTATCCCAAGCACCAGCATCAGGCGTCTTGACTGTCGGCATGCTCGCGACGCGAGGGATCGGGCGTTGCTCACCGCGAGCGCGGGGTGGGCTTCGAGTTACGTTGCTATCGTCAGCGGCAGCAGTCGGCCCGTGTCCGAGTTGTTGACCCGTAAGCGGTGTGCGCATGTATTGCCTCCACATGTCCTTGAGTTCCTTGAGCGTGCTGGGCGTCTGTTGGCCGGGCTTCTCGTTACGAGTCCCGTTCCCATTATCGCGGTCCTGCGGGCCGGGCGGAATGCCAGCACGAGGAGTGACGCCGTCCTGCCATGCGGGCCCGTTTGGCTCTCCGTTCGCATGGTCGAAGAAGGGAACGCCTTCGCTCAATCCTGCGAGAACAGCGGGGTCGTCCAATGACATCAACCCGAAGGCGCTGCTGAAACCGCCCTCGCCATCAGCGGGGTATCCCTCGTTGCGCGGTTGGCCATCAAAGCCCGAAGACGAAGAGGACGCAGATGCTGATCGAGCGTGGGTAGCAGAGTACGCAGGATGCGTATTGGGGAGCGGGAGGTGCACTGAGCTCGACGAGGCCGAGGATGAGCCGGTGACGTCCGAGTCCGCCGTTGACGGTCGGCGGTGGTCGAGACTGTACGAATATATCGGGTTCCCATACGACTGGGCGTCAAACGAGGAAGGCAACGAGCCGTACTGCGGCTCGTCATCGCGGGGAGCGTAGGCGCCGTTCTGTCGAGGGCCCAGAGCGCGTGAGCAAATATGTGATAAGGCGGGTATGGCCGAGACCGCGGGCCACACGATGACGCACGAGACGTACCTGCTTGTTTTCCGGACTGTATGCGAAATCGACCACGCCGTTGCGGCTAGCGGCCGATAATTCTGGGCGTGGGTACGGGGCTGCATAGCGCCCATCTTGGGAGGGAAGATCTTGGGGGTAGCCGTCGGCTCCAAGCATGCCGCTGCGAGCGAGCATCTCGGCCTGGGCGCGGTAGCGGGCGGCGTACTCTTCTGCGTATGCTGGGTTCTGGAGCGCATGGCCGAAGTTGAAGGGCGCGTTGGTGTATAATGGGTTGGGCGGGTTGCCGGCAGCAAGGGCAGCCGATGCGTTCGGCGCGAGTAGGAAAGAGTCGGTGAGCCGGTAGCCGGCCGGGACGGCGGGCAGACCAGCGAGCACGGGCAGGGCGTTCACTCCAGGGAGTGTGCCATTTGCGACAGCAGCCGCAGCGGCGAGTGCAGCGGCGTTAGGGTCGTTGGGCCGTGACGGGTGACCGGGGCCGAGGGGAGCGGTCTGGCGGTGAAACTTCACAAAGGTGCAGCGGCACTTGCGGTGTACACATTTCGCTAGCGATCACAATAAGCACGTAGGTCATATGAGAAGGGAATGATCCACGTACAACAAGGGTTCGAGCCGTCACAGGGCAGGCTTGATTGGACACACTGGTCGCACGCCTGCTTGGACGTCGTCGCGCGCGTAGCCGACGTCGATCCTTTGCGGCGCTGAGGCGCAGAAGACGAAAGTGGCTTTTCATTTGGATGACACTTGTTGACGTGACGAGACAGCAAATCGCTTTAGGCAGTATCGTCGTCAGCATGCCGTCCAAATCGGGAATAGAAGACGCCAAATAGCGCCAGGAAACAAGTACCTTCTGGCGAACTGGTCTCCGCAATGTTGGCAGCGGTACGGGCGATCACCGGTATCTGGATAGAGACAGACAAAGAGTCAGTGGATCTGTGTCTCTAGGGTCGGGAGCGGGCGGGGCGGTGGTGGTTTGGTTCGCAGATGGGAGCGCCCCCACCGCTCCACCTGGCCGACGGACTACTCACGGCTTCGCATGTGCCGGGCGACGTGCTGTGGGCGCGTAAACGTCGCTTGGCAGACAGGGCATTTGTGATCTCCAGCCATTCTTTGTTAGCAAGTGGCAGGATAGTAGCGTCGAGGAAGGGAGGGGAGGAAGGGATGGTCGTCGTTGTGGAGCGGTCCGTCAAGTACTCTGAAGAGCATCACAGTCCGTGAGAAAATCCATGACGTCATGAAATTCTGCCCTCTCGAGCCTTCTCGCCGCCTTCTGCAATCGTACCCTGCCATAATAAACCCTCGTAATGTTACATTCATCGACACACGTACGCGTACGCTTAAGTACCTTCCAATCCCTCCCTCGTCTCTCCGATCCTCCGTCTCTCCCTTCCCATTCTCGAGCTCGAGAGAGTCACCGCGTCTCGCCGTCCGTGGAAGTCGTTACGTCAATCCACGTGTTCGCCACTCATGCTCTCGAAACGGTAGCAGAAATGAGCCCGCTGTAACGGTTGCGTCAGTTTGGGCGCTTCCAGGCTCCACAGTGCGGCAAACGCTCACCTCGGTGCGTCAACTGGCATGAATACCTCGGCTTTCGCCCTGTGTTCATGGTCATTGTGTCAGCCAGCGAGCTCAACAGGATAGGATAGCGACACATAGGGAAAGCACGGAAAGGACGCGCATCACGTCCCTCGTCGCGAACGGGGATACGCTAGCGCGTATCATCTGCTCTTCGCGCAAGCCGCAGCATGCAGGGTCGTCAATCCCCTCGGAGCGGCTTCCTTCTTTTGCGAAAGGAGCGGAACCAAGGTACGAACTTCCAGCGCTCCGCCGGTGAGAGCGCCTTGCACAAAGCAAGCAAACAATAGACTCGAGGGGACGAAACAAGGCTGATGTGGAACACGTACGGTGTGAGGTTGTCGATCCCGATGTACTTCATGTCGACGGGGATGTAGTGCTTGTTGGGAAGTGCGATGCGCACGCTCTGCACGCCCGCGTTGGCCTTGAGGATCGTCTGACCGATCTTGTACAGCGTCGCCTTCACGACCGTAACGGCAATCGCGGGGAATCAAGCACGACGGATGAAAGTAGATCATCGGGCGGCGGCGAAAGGAAGAACGAGGACAAGCAAGCATCCGGATCAGCGCTCGCTCGGCCGCGAAGGGAACGTTCAAACGTACCTGCACGCTTGCGCTCTCGTCGGTGGCAAAGACGCTGAGCGTAATATCCCGCACGCTCGCTGCGATCTTGTCGTCGTCCCAGGCATCACCGCTCTACACCATACAAAGCCAGTCAGCTGCTTGCAGACCACACAGACACGACATGTATAGATAGCGAGCGATCAGCTGCTGCCGCTGAAAGATGCAGGACAGGAAAATTGGGGTTCTCCCGTCGCAATATGCCCATATGAACGGAACACACATCCTGCCGGCACTATCACGCATGCGGCTAGCAGGTGCAAGGCGCCGGCGAGGAGCATAAACATGTACACACGAAGAGGGCGGACGGACGGCGAAACTCACCTTGGTCTGGACGTGCTTCTCCTCGAGCTCCTTCCCATCCCCATGACCACTCACAGCCAGCGGCGCATACGTGTACGCAAGGTCGATGCTGGTGCTGAAGATGCGGTCGTTCACCTCCGCAAGCGTCGTGTACTCGTCCCGCACAAAGTTCTCGAAGCCCGAGCCGGTAGACTTGAGCACTGTTCACAGCGACAGTTCAGCATTTCGGATTCAAGGACAGCGCTAAGGGCCATTTCGGCAGCGTGAGTTGAGTTAAGTGTAGATGAGTTCGCCCAGCCAAAACGGCCGCCCATCAACTATTGCCGGCACCTTACGAGAGGGTATAGGCGTCGTTTTGGCTGGGGAACTCAACTCAACGCAACTCAACGCGTGCTGCCGAAATGGCCCTAAACAAGTCAGGGAAGCGATCCTTCATCAGCCTGAGCCGACCCCGAGCCTCCACCCTTATATGCCTCTTTTCGTGATGGCCCCGACCGAGACAACCGGCCGAGCTCCACTCCACTTGCGACTTCGCGCCCCATCCGCGCAGAGCCGAGGCGCGTCCAAGAAACGTTATTCCAATATAAGTATCGCGCGCCCTGCCGGACGTACAGCCAACCGACTATAATTCCCGTCGGCCGCCTATGGAAGCAGTCCATGTACTCCAAGAACACGCGCCCGAACGAGTAATCCGGCGGCACAGCACTCAAGTGGCGGAACGCAGGACAAAAGTATGAACGCGGACGTACCGAGCAAGTCTCCGATCCCGCCCTCGGCTTTGACGAGCACGCCCTCCTTGCCCTTGTCGACTTCAACGCCAACAGTACGCTTCTCCTGGCCATCGCGCCAGAAGGCATGCGGGTGCTCCTTGCCATCGACACCGATGCGCGCCCAACGGAGTGTCTCGACTCGGACAACTGCCTTTGTGATGTGCGCGTATTTGGACACGAGGTGCGTGCCGAGGTGTGTGGCGAAGCGGAGAGGCGAAAGGACGTGCGGGGAGGTCTTGGCGAGGACTATGCAGAGTGTCAGTGAACGTAGATCTTCTTGGTTCATAGTTCTACATACAGTATGTGATGTTCTTGACTGTACGAGTTCGATCCAAATGTCAATACAAGCTTAATATCATGATAAACTGTGAAGCGTACTAGAATCGGTGGCGACAACTACGCTGTTGTCCGCCTGAGTGAAACTAGTACACACGAGATCAGCACCACACGTTCAATGATCAGCCTACCAAATCCTATACGCACCTGGTATCGATCGCGCCCTCAAGAAGCGCAGTCACATTGTACTCGGCGATGGTGTGTACGCCGTCCGCGCCACGCACGGTGCGGAACACGCGCACCTTGTCCTTGCCGTAGCGCGCAGCAGAAAGGAATCCCGGTCCGTCAGAGCTCATCTTTACGACAGTACTAGTGAATCAAAGGGTTCGCTTGTTTGAGTCTTGAGAAGATCAAGAGTAGATGGTCAGGAGCAAGAGTGCTCAGTTCGATCGGCCGAGCAGGACTTTTATAACGAGGTGCAGCGGTGGAGAATCGGCGCAAGACTTAGGCTAGGCCTGGCTGGACGCGGAGCAAACGTCTCGATGGGCGCGCACAAGAGGTGTGTGTATGGCACGCCACCTGGAAGAAGCTAGCGGAGGAGCGGGCGTCCTGATAAGGAGGCGGAGAACGCCGAGCGGCGAAGTGCCACCTCCCCAGACGGTGACCTCGCCGTTGGTCACTTCGTCTACGTATCATGACCCAGCGAATAGGTACGCCGGCTGAGTGGCATCTCATGTTGCTGTAGTGCGAGAATATAGTCAAAGGTGCTTAGCACGATGTCTGACTTGCAACGGCGTTGTCTGTGGGGACATGCGCGCCGATAGGCGCGTCGGCCGCCCGAACTCTTCGGATTTTTGTTCGACGGCCGCTACGACTGCATGCGCACCCAGATCGGAGCGCTGATAACGGGCTACATACTGTATGTGTATTCTACAGCACGTACACCGCACGGTGCAAGACGTGTACAGACGTGTACGTGATCGTTCCATCTTGTCAAGGCGCAACGGATCAGGAGCGTGCGATCGGACTTCGGACCGACGCTCGGGGATTGACGCGTGCCGCAACGGCTTCGCCCAACTTGACGCTGACCTTGATGAGCAACACCCATATCGTTCGACAACAAAGCCCGACTGCTTGAGAGAACCGAATACGTTGGATTCCATCCGACTCTGAAGGCGAGAACGAATATACGTGGCAGGACATGATGGTTGGGCTGCCAACAAACACGAAACGCGCGTTCTGAAGCTCGGCGAACCGTTCATCCCGTCGTCGCGACAAGGAAGCCGTGCGGCCATCTACTGGTCATTCGCTGACTAGATACTGGAGTCTGTGGGATGCTTCTCCGTTTGGTCGATGTTCAGGGGCCGCTTCGCAACGTGCCCCCGGTCTCTAGATTGGCCTTGCTCTGGCCATGGAGCGCATCTCGTAGCCTGTGGAACTGAGAAAGCCACCCCTGCTGCTGATTCTTAGTACGGAGGATACGTCTTCAGGATACCAACAGATCGAAGAAATGCACTTAAGGCGACCTCGACCTAGCATTGCGCCTGCTTACGCTCCGCCACGTCGTATCTATCCGCCGCGGTTCAGCCCATTCATTGACATATACATCGCGGCTGGGGGAGTAGCGTCTGCGACAACTCGAGACATCGACATGTTGTGTCTCCGCCTCATTGCGATGACCGCCGTCTGCTGGAGTGTGGTAGGAGAAGCGCAAACGCTGTCCATACCAAAGACCTGGACGGTGCGTGCTCTCAGAATATGCCAATGCCTTGCTGATGCAGAGACGCGTAGAATGCCACCCCTAGTCTCGACCGCCAATCGCGCGAGAATCTTGCCAACAGAGCTGCTACAGCCCTTCTTCAGCACGTAGATCTCACTTCGCCGAGTCTAGAGACCGGTATGCCATTTAACGCACATGATATAAGTATCGTTGAAGTTAATTGAACTATATAGGTGGCAACGTGCAAGGCGTCACCAGCATGTATGCGGTTCTGACTCTCCAAGACTACTACAGCGGCAACACTACCTGGGCCCGCACAATCGTGGATAGCATGCAACTTCGGAATAGCCAGTACGGAATCTATGGACCACCTCCAGCGATTAATAGTGATGGAATCTACTGGGGGCTCGCGTATTTTTACGCGTACCGAGCGTACAAGCAACGGCCTTTGCTTGATCTCGCGCTCTCAGCGTACAACGCAACATATTGGGCGGGGTTCGTTACGCCACAGGATGCGATCGATGGTAGTGGTGCCGGGCGCAGCGGATCATTCCTTCCCTCGGCGAGTTGCACGAATGGTGCGTCAGCCACTACTATATGCAGGGCACTGGCATTGACAGGAGAAAAGACACAATTGCTGGTGGAGTATTCAAGGTACACTTGATTACCTCTTCATAGGCTCTGTAACCCACATGACTCCGACAGAGCAAGGATGACCAGAGTCTTTTCGATCTCAATATGGAGTCGACCGGACCATTTATGGCGTGAGTCGAAGCTTCACACTTTGACGTTGTGGCTGATTAGGTTTTCAGCTTGGCAGCATACCTATACGAACTTACTGGCGATCCGGCTTACCAACAGGCCGCACTGCTCTCTTTAGATTTTACACTCAACTTTATGTTCAATGAGACGGCCGGTATTGTCGGAGACACGTTCCAGCCGAGTAGCTGCTATCTTGAAATGAAGCCTCTCACTGTCAATCAAGCATGGTTCATCGAAGGTCAGCACTTCAGCAGACGTTACTTCTCCATGTGCTCTGGTCTCATTCATATAGGCCTCTCGATCTTGGCGAACGTCACAGACAACAGTACTTTGACGTCATTGTAAGATACTCCTTCAAATAGTAGCATGCGTACTTATGCGTGGATCACAGTTTGAAGGGACTCGTCTTGAATGTCACAACGTATCCGGGTTGGTCGTCACCAGACGGTGTATTGAGTGGTAAGCGTACACGTTCTGCTCGATTGCATCACACGTCGCTGACTATGTTTAGAGGCCCTCAACTTCAAGGGGATTTTCATTCGCGGCCTTATGGAAGCTCGCATGCGCAATCCAGAGACGGATCTCTCACGATACATCGACGCGTACATCGACGTGCAGGTTCTCATTTTCCTGTGTTCATTCCCCAAATGGTGGTTCTTACTGATAGGCTCTCGCATAGTACAACTCTGTATTGGCTCTCGCTCGATCGCCCACCCCAAATGATAGCTTCTACTCCACGTCATGGTCTGGGCCTCCAGTAGAGTATGTGTGCGTACCACAAGCAGATCCATCGCGCTGATTTAAATAATAGGACCTTCAGCGCTGATGGGAACTTCATCACCTTGGACGTGCTAAACGCCGCCTTCAGTATCACGGGCGCTTCGAAGTCAGTGCTCGACGTCTTTCATCGCATCCGTCTGTGCCCTCACCCCGGCTGATTGCAACGTAGATCTTCCAATCCCCCAGCCAACATGCATACGACTGCTTCTGCTTCTACTACTAGTCAAACCGGGACTCAACCTGTTCACACCGTGAATACGTCGGGAAGCAGGGTCGGCACTATTGCAGGAGGCGCCATAGGCGGTGGCCTCGCTCTTCTAGCCCTTGTCTGCGCCGCATACCTCTGGAGACGTCGTAGGAGGGATGTAACCGATGAATATCGACCTCGCGACGCGTTCAACGATAACCTGACACATGCATTAGCCATTGAACCGTTCATCGTCCCGGTTCCCAATCCGTTTGCCGGCGCCAACTTACCGTGGACTTCTAAGCGGCAACACATCAGCGCGTCGCTTCGTATAGAACGCACGTCGGCTCCCGTGGGTGCTTCCACGTCCTCTGCAACGACGCCTACTCCTAGAGTGGATGACCATACGCAGGAGGAGTCAGGATCCGCACAGTCAAACGTTCCGTCCGCGAGGGACGCCTCTGCGCATATGAATCCAGGCGCGCCAGCCGAGCAAATAGACGCTGCAGAGATCCCAATGTTAGTCGGGTTGTTGAATAATCTTCTGCAGGATCGCCAGTCACAACTTCCACCTCGATATGAGGCTTGATCGTCCATCCTACACTGTTGCTATACGTACTGCGCAAGACCAACTTCCATCTGCCTTGAGTTTGCGAGATCTACTCGGCGTACGTGTTTGGGAAGGACTTTGAGCGGCTGCCTTTGTAATACACTATATGACCGCGCCGCCAGATTTCTCGACAGTGTGATGAAAGTTGAAAGTAAATAGGCGAGAGCTTGAGCGTCGAGCGAAGCGTCGCGATGGTCTCGCGGCGGGAGTGCGCGAAAGGAATTCGGGCCGACGCTCCGATTACGTTGACGTCGCACCTCCATGTTTCAACCCAAACCACGACAACTGGTGGCTCACTACTGCAGTCTCTTCAGTCTGGTGTGACAAGCGATCTAGGCTATCTAACGCGACATGAAAATGGTCCAACATCATCGAGATTGATAGTCGCAAGCTGGCCAATATTGAGTCCAAGGAAGCCCCATCAGTACCAAGTTCCTTCCACCACGACCTATTTGCCCTTTCCGGCTGGCACCTTCCCTACTCTCCGGCCCAGCCGCGTGCGCTCCATCGTCAGCATCAACAAACAAGGCTCAAATCGTTCGACGCTCGCTGGGTCTCATGTGCTCCGCGCATGCCCGTCAAAGCTACGATACGTGACATGGGATCTCCGCTTCTCTGTTCGACTTATGGAAGGTTCATAAATCTGCGTTGCGGATGCTCTATATGGGCGTATGAATCAAAAATGCCCCAAATGGACTCGCTGTAACCCATCGGCACGATTTGGGTATCGACCTCTTCTATGTTGGGGATCTATGCATCCATACTGCTCTGGTATCAGTATCTGTTGCTCTACCGTGGGGATCAAACTGGTGTCGTGAGGCTTCTCGTAGAATCTCTGTGCGAAACGATGCCTTGCCGGGCGGTGGTCGTTTCTACGCCTTCCTTTCAGCGACCGCTACTATCCGGCAATCCTGCATTGGCACTATCCAGTGAGGTCGAGCCCCCACGATGACTTCGTGTCTGCTGCAAGCCGGTCCAAGCCTGATGGCCTTCATGTTCATTTTCCTGGCGAGAGCTACTCTTGCGAGCTTGACAGTCCCATCTTCATGGCTGGTGCGTCCTTCCCTAACATTTATCGCGGCCTGCAAGGACTGGCCTGCCCGATGCAGAATACCACATCCACTCTCGACCGTGCCACGCGCGAAGGTCTCACGCACGACGCAGCAGCGGCTCTCGTCTCACAAATCGATCCATTGAAGGGTCCAGGAACAGGTCCGTCGCCCTAACTGGTCCCAACTTCGAGACCTGACATCCACAGGCCTACCGGTTCCCGACGTAACAAGCATCTATGCCGCACTCTCTATACAAGATTACTACAGCGGCAATACGACGTGGAGCAGCTTGTACACTAATCTGCAGGCGTTCAACAACCAATTTGGGCTCTATGGTGTTCTACCCGCTCGTAATGGCGATGCGCTTTACTGGGGACTTGCCTTCTACTACTCGTACCGGACGTACAAGCAGCAGTTTCTTCTCGACCTTGCCAAGAATGCCTACGACACATCGTATCTGGCCGGCTTCATCACTCCCAGTGCGGCAGCCAGCAGCTCAGGCGCCGGCCGTAATGTATCATTCGTTCCGCCTTTGAATTGCACAGGAGGTCAGCTGGCAGCGCTCTACTTTGATGCATATCAACTTCGGCATGATTCTGAGCCTATGCACAGGTACCTTCGCCGGAGGCATGTTCTTTGTGAGCACTCCACATAACTCGGAAGGTCAAAGCTCACGATCTTCTAGAGTAAGGGCGTTCAAAATAGTACCTCTATCAGCATGCAATCCGTGGGCCCGTTCATGGCGTGCGTTGCGTGCCATCGCATCAATACCTCTGTCGCTGATACACCGTTCGGGATAGACTATCAGCGTATCTCTACGAAGCAACAAACAGTGCAACCTACCAAGAAGCGGCCCAGCTTTCGGTTGACTTCGTCGCTAATCATATGTGGAACGGGACGATCTTTGGCGATACGTTCTATCTAAGCAACTGCGTATTGGATCTTAATCCTCTCACGATCAATCAGGCCTGGTTCATAGAAGGTGAGCTTGCATGTGCTCGTGTAGTACAGCGTTTGACACCTGCTTGATAGGCTTATCTGTATGGGCGAGCGTGACCAAGAATGATACTCTGACTTCACTGTATGTGCGATCAGCCCAGTTCTGTTGTCTCCCGTACACCATTGATGAACATCTCAGCTTGAAAACCGTCGTGCCCAGTGTGACAACGTTCACGAAGTGGTCGCTGCAAGATGGCGTGATTACCGGTGGGCTTGTCAGCGTCTACAGTCTAGGTAGTCGAGGCTGATCGAGACGTCGCAGAAAACTCAGCTCCCGATGAAGCGGACGCCACGTTCAAAAGCATCTTTGTTCGAGGGCTCGCGGAGGCGTACGCGCGGAACCCTGGTACAGACCTAGCTGATTACATTGCTGCTTATATCAATATCCAGGTGAGAGCCATATGTGTACCGCTCAATCAGCGGCCCGCTGATCGTCTCCCACGTGGCAGTACAACGCGTTATTGGAGAATGCGCGATCTCCTGCACCCAACTCAAGCTACTACTCGACGTCGTGGTATGCAGGCCCGCCAGGATCGTAGGTATCTCCAGCGCTCTCAACATGTTCAACACGGGAGCTCATCGCCCATCGTGATTAGATCTTTCAGCGCTGTGGGAAGCATTGCCGCTTTGGATGTTCTAAATGCTGCAGTAACTCTCGTCTCACCTACCACGTCAGTACGAATTCCTTCGACGACCATCCGGTACTGATCATAGATCTGGCCTCGTAGGAACTCATCCACAGGAAGCCCAACTAGCACCGGGGGCTCCGGCGCACCCACGAGCCCCAATAAGCCGTCGAGACCCGCGAACAAGACGTCGCACGCGGGCGCCATCGCCGGCGGCGTCGTGGGCGGCTTTGCTGTACTTGCGGTCATCGCGGCCCTGTGCCTATGTCACCGCCGG